AACCCCATAGTTCGCGGGTTCTCCTGAGGCAGGAACGGAGCGCCCGCTCCAGCACTCCCTGGCAGCCGAGAAGAGCAATGCTCCTACTGCAGCCCGCACTTGCTCTGCGGAGGGGTCCTCCAGATGAGCCAGTGGGGCCCTAACTCTGCACCTCCAAACCCCCAGCAGTGCAGTGGGCACGGGTGCCCCAGTTGGGTCATGCCTTGGGTTTTGTAACTTGAATCCGCCTCCTCCCTCCAACCCAGCCCAGGGACTGCACCAACCAGGCAGTGTGGTTGAATTGTCAGAGTACTGTTCTCAGTCAGGCCTAAGGTATGATTGTGGCTTAGTCTCTGAGTCTCTAACTGACCTGGACCTCTCTGGGCCTTGCCTTATTCACCTGTAAAAGCAGAGTCTTGGACTAGATGGGCCCTTCCGTTGGTTGTCTGTGTTTGAGGAGCTGGCTGTAGATATGTGAGGTGGGGGAGGGGAGAAATGAGGGCATGGTCACACGGAAGAGGAAATGGGCCTCCAATCCACCAAAGATCCCTTTTGGACACATTGGGGGCAGCGGAGGTGGGGAAGGCAGGGTGCCTCGCCCCTCTCTGGCAGTGGGCTGGCATCCTCCACTAGTCCACCTCCCTAAAAAGCCCTAGAGTAAAGCTAGACTATCAGTGGAAGAAAGCTTACCCCAGAGAGCTGCTCCCACTTCACAGATGGAGAAACAGGCTCAACTGTGTGAGGCAGACCGGCCACCTGCCCTGTGATTCCCCCAGAGCCTTCTAGGGAGTGGGGCATAAGCTCCTTCCCATTTCCACAACCCTTAAGCCAAGTCCTCCAGCCACTTTGCTTCAAGAGTTTTATTGCTAAGCATTCTGGGAAGACAGGTGGGGGGTCCCCACGTGGGAAGGCATCAATCAGGGTATTGGAATGGGGCCTAGTTCCTGGGCCTCTGGCTCTGGTGGAAAATCCAGGACCCCATGCTGGGGGCTATTCGAGAGTCTAGGAGGGATGGCAGGGACAGTAGGCCAGCTGTTCACACTGAGTCCCCGGGGTGCCTTCCTTCACACAGGCCAACAGCCGTCACCTCCAGCCTGGGCCCAACCCTGGGTGTCCGTCATTGGAGACGCTACAGTGGTTCGGGTGCACCCTTGAAGGCAAGCCAGGGTCCTCCACAGAGAGCTGTGTCTGGTAGCACAGTGCTCCCCCTCTGATAAGAAGTTCCACTTCCTAGAACCAGCCCCTGCTCCCAGTCCTGGTCTGGGGGCAGGGAGCTCATGGCCCCTTTGTAGAGCCCCCAAGCTGACTTCCACCAGGTTGCCAGTCTCTCAGCTATTCCTTGCAGCAGCCACTCCTGCCCCCTGTCCCTTAGTGTGCCTCTAAAATTGAGAAGAAGGGACACACAGTTCCCCTAAAAGATGATCAGGTCTTTCATCCTGCCCAGATTGGCCTTCCTTAACTTGTTGTCATGTGTTGTTATGCTAAAAGGTGTGTGTCTCCTCCTGTGGTCTTTTAACCCTCCTGGGCACTGCCTAGTAGGAAATGTGGGGAGCTGTATGAGAGGATGCTTTGGGAGGCACATATAGTTAAGCAATAGAACCTGCCACTAACTAGCTGTGTGACCTTGGGCAAGTCACTTAACTTCTCTGTGCCTTGGTTTTCTCAACAGCCAAATGGTGGTGATTATCCTGATGGTGATTATCTGTTCAGTTACACAGATGGGAGTTTCCAGACAGGATCCACAGCCCAGAATGGCCCTTCCGAGGCTGGTGTACTTCCCCAACTCCAAGAGGGCCCCTTCTGCTCCTTTGCTCCTGAGTGCCCTTGCATTGGGCTCCAGAGGCCAAAATAGGAGCTGACTTCCCATTAGGGCCTTCTGCGGTTCTCACAGGATGGACAATGTCCAAGGCTCCCAGAGGAAGCACCCTGGGGGCTGGCCCAGGCCCAGCCTCACGCAGCTGTGGGTGGAGACCTCAGAAGTCTGGGAGAAGGCCAGGGGCTGGAGGGGCCAGAATGTGCCCTGCACTGGGGCCCCAGCCTCATCCCTGCTCCTAACTCGCTGCTCCTTCAGAGCAGACAGATGGGCTTCAGGTTGTTCCATAGCTCCCAGCCTGCACAGCCTGAAGCTGAGGAGGATAGGGCGGGGAGGTGTTGAGCGAGCATGAGCAGCAGCTTACGCCAAGACCCAGCGATCTGTGAGGGAGCTGGGACTGCACAGTTGTTTGCCTGACTGCTGGTCCTGGCTTTCCCCACTACAGCCCCTCCCAGGCTCCTGGCGTTGTCATGTTTGAATTCAAGGCAACTTGTACCCCCATATCTGAGATAAAGCTGACTTTTCCCATTCAATTAATGCCTTCTACACGAGTGGCTATGCCTCAAATATTCTCTAACATGATTGTTGTCAACCTTAATTTTTTTTTTTTTTTTAATTTAGAACTTTTGTTCCCGGACCAAAACATAGGCAGGGCAGAAATAAATAAACCCATAGATGGGAAGGCTGCTTTGGTTGAGACCGGGGCTGGGTACTCAGCTTCGCCCCCATCAAGAAATGAATGGTAAAAGGAATGCACACATTCTGCTCGCCTGCAGAAATCTTCCACTCCAAAGACAGTCTGCAGGTGATGCCACCCCAGAATCATACAAGGTGGAGCAGTGATTCCCCAAGTGAGTGCAGCTAAACAAGATGATTGTAGTGGCTACCTAGATGAATAGTTTTAAAATCAATAGTCATAAATTGAAATGTGTATCAGAAAAAATATAACGTAATACATCCAACCATGACTTCTTGGTCGTTATTGCTCAGAAGGAGAGTAAGTAGTGAATTTATTTAAAGAAAAATGTTAACTAAATAATGTGCAGGAGGATCACAGATATGGCAAAACTCACAAAAGTGGTTTGTATGCACAATCTAGGAGCCCAAGAAGGAACGTGAGGCATAGAGGGGAAATCTGTGCCGAGGATCCAGGGTCTGAATTAACGCCGAGTTTGGTCTTTAACCACTGCCTCTCGCTTTCTTATGGCTGCTCCATTTCGCGAGCATGTGTTACCTGCCTGCTGTGTACTAGGTGCTTGCCTGGTATGGAGGATATCATCCTCATGGCGCTGAGTCTTGGGGGTGCTGGGAGAGCTGCCCCGGGATAGCATCGCTGAAGTGAGCTTCCAGGATGAGTGGGTGGTATGTGAAGGAAAGATAGAAGCTGTCCAGGCCCAAAGAGAAGCTTGGGGTAAGGGTGAGGTGGGGGTGAGGGTGAGGATGAGGGTGGAGTGGGGGTGGAGGAAGGAAGAGATGGTGGGCTTGAGAAACCAAAAGAGGCCAGTGGGGCAGAGCAACAGGGGGAGAAGGCTTGAGATGAGACCAGAGAATCATTGGAGGCTAGATCACACTAGACCTATAAGCCAAGGCAGGGATTGTAGACATTGTCATTCATTTAGCCAGCATTGAGCTTCTGCCCTGTGCTAGGCATGGAGGGGTGTACAAAGTCACAGAGGCTTCCCCTGAGGTGCCTTCTCTAGTGAGAAGCTTTTGAACACATAGATGGCCTTAAGTGCTGTGATAGAGGTGTGAACCAGAGGCCAGGGAAGCACCCGGGGGAAAGGGGCTGCCTGTTCATGAGAAGGCAGTGATGTTTGAGCTGGGTTTTGAAAGATGAGTAGGAGTTTGACAGGAGGGAGAGGCAAGGCATTCCCGGCAGTGGAAACAGGATGGGTAAAGGCACAGAGGTATGAAAAAGTCCAGGGAGTTTGGGGAAATACCCACAACTGGAGCCACATCGGGCATTGGAAAGAGGAGAGGCCAGAGGGTCAAGTCCACAGAAGGTTTTCAGGCTCAAGACAGAGCTGAGGTTTCATTCCACAAGCAGTGAGGAGCCAGAGACCAGGTTCAAGCAGGAGAGGACGATCCCTCTGCCAAGGTGTGTGGGCACGTTGGGTGACAGGGGAGAAGAACATGGTTACTGCTACCCAGTGGGGTGTAGAGATGGCCATGCCTGGGCCTTGGCAGGGGGCTGGAAGAGGGATCCCTTTTTATTATTAGAGAATGTGGGGGCTGTGGAGCATGCCCCTCTATGTGCCCCCAGCCTGGGCTGGCACAGTACCCAGAACAGGGACCTCTCATTACAGGGCACTGGGCTGCCTGCTGTGCCAGCTTTGAAGACCAGAGGCCCTTTCCAAAAGGGTAAAGATCCCAGCCAGCTGGGCCACGGACTGTGTCCAAAGCAAACAGGAAAAGGCCACGATGGGCCAGGCAGGGCCTCTTTCTTTGTTTGGAGTAGAGATTAGGCCAATCAGGCTTATGTGTCTTTTTGCTGCAAAGGTGGGAGAGGGCTTCAGGTCCTACAGAGTGAAACTTGTTGCAAGGGGATGCATGACCCCTGGGTGCCAGCCTTCAGGGGTACAACAGGGATGGCTTTCCTTGGCAAATTCTAGCCCTGATGAAGGGAGACTGGAAGCACATACTTCTCACTCTCAGTCACCCTCAGGGGCTGCTGCTCCCTCTGTCACCATGCCCAAGTTGCAGCCCTCCCTCGGTACTTGGCTTCCCACTCTTGCCCCTTGGCCATCAGCCCAGGCCTAGGAGGGGTGGCTGTAGGTCACTGCAATGGGAAGTCCACACTGTCCAGACCAACGCCCTGGGGGGCAGGTCTCTAGAGAGAAAGAGGGAAGTGCTGACGGCTCAGAGCGCCCTGGAGCCCAAAGATGGGCACCCAGGATTCCCCTGAAGACCCTGTACAGGGATGCCTGAATGAATTAACCTATGAACACTTACCGTCCATGCATGCATTTGTTTGCCAAGCCTCCAGGTGGGCTCACAGGTTGCTGGCCCAAGACGGGGCAGGGAGTGGCCAATGAATGAGGAGCTGACAGACCAGATGAGGGAGGAGACAAGCGTGGGCCCTGAGATGCATCTGGCCCTAGCAAGAGTCTTGCCTGTCTGCCATGGTTGGAGGAGGGCTCAGAGAAGGGGGTAGACAGTTCTCCCAGGGCTAAGTGGGAGTGGAGACAGGGGTGGAGATGGGCTGCAAAGACTCCAATAAGGAGTGACGCCTGAATTGACTCACTCATTCATCCATGCACCCATTCACGCCTGTGTGCATTCACTCAGCAAATATGTATTGAGCAACTACTATGTGCCAGGCACCGTGCCTAGTGCCAGTGGGCAGAAGCAGCCAGGGACCTGCTCTTATGGGGCCTGCCGTTGGTCGGGGAGACAGGCAACACTCAAATCATCACCACACAGATCAAATGGAAAATTGTACTGAGTTATAGGGCTTTGAAGAAGAGGTTTGTGGTTCTAAGGGGCCTGACCTAGTCACGGAGGTCAGGGTGTCTTCTCTGAGAAAGACTTGAAGAATAAATAGGAAGTAACCAGGGCAAGAAGGGGGAGAAGATGATCCAAACAGAGGGAACTGCACATGCAAAGGTCCTGTGGTGGAGGGTCTGGGTGAAGGCCAGAGTGGCTGGAGTGCCACAACAGAGGGGAGTGTGGTGAGAACGAGGTTGGGAAGTGGGCCAGCTGATAGCACTTGAACTTGTGGGTGTCTTTAGAAGATTTGGTCTGAATTCCAAGAGCAAAGGGAAGGTTTTAAGCAGTGGTGCAAAATGATCCAATTTGTGTAGCAAACTAGTTTGAGGGGGCCCAAGTGGAAGTGAGGAGTCATGAGGGTCCAGCAGTGCCCACATAAACAATGACAGTGGCTTTGACCAAGGACATGGTGAGATTGGGGGGCAGGGTGAGTTGGATGTTGGGGTGAGGGTCAGGTGATATTGAGGTCTGAGGAACTGGGCTGGCAGATGGGAAGGGTGACGATGAACATCATATTCCTGTAAGAACATATTATATTGAGCATGATAAGTAATATCTTCCTTTCTACCAAGGATAGAATGGTTGACCTCTGAGTAAGAAAGAAGGGAAGGGAAGGATTTTCAGGTTCTACTATATGGTATTTAATATGTTTTCTCATTAAATCTGTTCAACAAATCTGAGAAGTAAATACTATTATTTATGTACGAGGAAAGGAGTCTCAGAAAGGTAAAATTACCTGCCCAAGGTCACGGCTGGGAAGAGGTTACGGCTCCACCAGCCTCCTCTCTTAAAAAAAAAAAGAAAAAAAAAAGGCAAAACAACTTATTTCATTCTTCTCAGTGAGCTTATAATTGAGGAAAAAGTTTTTGGCAGAAGGGAAAGGGAGGGGAACCTGGAAGAACTCCCTGCTCTGAAAGAATGCAAGGGAGCCTGGGGCCATGTCACTGAGGAGCCCTGGGCATCCATCCAACCACAGGGGTGAACCAATGTGTTCTTGACCCGAGCCGGAAACCAACTCTCCCTTTCTCTTCATCTCCCACCTCCCTGCTCCTGGGAAGTCCTTCTAACCTCCTGGACCTAACCTCGATCCTCCTGTTCTGGTGCCCATTGTCTCCTCTTGCAGGCAGATCCAAGCCACCTGGCCGCTCCCTCTCCCCGCTGGGCACGAAGCCTGACGCCTGCCCTTCAGCCCTCGGTGGGCTTCCAGGAAGCCTGCAGCCTGTAACCGGACAGTTTGCTCCCAGCAGGTACCCCTGAGCTGCACTCCGCACACTGTTCCTGGATCTCCTCTCCGAAACCTGGGCAGAGTGTGTTCCCACCCAGTCCGGTGACCTTCGCCTGTCTGAGCCCTGGTTAATTTTTGCCCAGTCTGCAGGCTGTGGGGTTCCTCCCCTTCAGGGATATAAGCCTGGCCCGAGGCTGCCCTGTTCCCCACCTGTCCTGAGCCTCCCCAAGCTCCCTCTGCACCCTCACCATGGCCAAAGGATTCTACATATCCAAGGCTCTGGGCATCCTGGGCATCCTCCTGGGCGTGGCGGCCATAGCCACTATCATCGCTCTGTCTGTGCTGTATGACCAGGAGAAGAACCAGAATGCCGGGTACGCCACCACCGTGGCCCCTATGAGCCCCGTGACCACCATCACCACGGCCACCACCTTGGATCAGAGCAAGCCATGGAACCGATACCGCCTACCCACGACACTGTTGCCTGACTCCTACAAGGTGACACTGAGGCCCTACCTCACTCCCAATGAGAATGGCCTGTATATCTTCACGGGCACAAGCATCGTCCGCTTCATCTGCAAGGCCCCCACTGACGTCATCATCATCCATAGCAAGAAGCTCAACTACACCACAACCCAGGGGCACATGGTGGCCCTGCGGGGCGTGGGGGGCTTCTCGGCCCCCGACATCGCCAGGACCGAGCTGGTAGAGCCCACGGAGTATCTGGTGGTACACCTCAAGGGCTCGCTGGAGTCAGGCAGAATGTACGAGATGGAGAGTGCATTTCAGGGGGAGCTGGCCGACGACCTGGCAGGCTTCTACCGCAGCGAGTACATGGAAGGCAATGTCAAAAAGTAAGTCAGAGCTGGGTCTGCTGGGGGGCAGATCCTAGGTGCTGAGGCAGAGCTGGACCCTGGGAGCTAAGGAAGGGCTTGGGTTCGGGGCCTTTGAACCTTCGGGAGTCCTTGGCTGGCCCATCACTCCATCTGCAGCTCCGGTAGAGCAGCTACCAAGACAATCGACCCTTTCCCGGAGGGCTCCTCTATACTTTATTAGGGAGTAGGGATGAGAGATGAAAGTGCCCCTTGGATAGATAGGAAAACAGGCTCTGAGGAAAGAAATTTGCCAAGGTTTCCCAGCCAATACAGGGATGGAGCCTGCCAGGACTTTGACCCTGAGTCCAGAAGGAGCTCTGCTCTCCCACGTCAGCTGGCCTGTCGGCCTAGAGGCGGCCTGGGGGAGGTGGGGAGGGCAGGGATTAGGCCAGGCAGCATCTGTGCACCCCATCCCTGCACACCCAGCAACATCCTGCAGCCCCAGCCCCACACACCCACACGGGCACAGGCATTAAGCTGGCACACCCTCTAACCCCCGCTTCGGGCAGGGTGCTGGCCACGACACAGATGCAGTCTACAGATGCCCGGAAATCCTTCCCGTGCTTTGACGAGCCGGCCATGAAGGCCACATTTAACATCACCCTCATCTACCCCAACGGATTCACGGCCTTGTCCAACATGCCGCCCAAAGGTGAGCAGGTCTGGCTGGGGCCACACATCCTTGGAAAGCAGACCCCCAGGGCTGGGGCACAGGGCAGGGAGAGGGCACAACCCCACATGCCTGTGTGCTCTCTGCCCAGGTCCCAGTGTCCCGTTTGCAGAAGACCCCAAATGGAACGTCATTGAGTTCGAAACCACGCCTGTAATGTCCACATACCTTCTGGCCTACATCGTGTGCGAGTTCACGAGTGTGAAGACAGTGGCACCCAACAACGTCCAGGTATGGAGCTGAGGCCACCTATCCTTCCTCGGGATTGGTCCTGGCCTGGGAGATATTCCTATTTATCCTCATCCTTGTCCCAGCCCCTGACTTGCTAGGCAGTGTTTGAATCCCAGTTCTGAGTGATCTTGGGCAAGTGCCTTAGGTTCTCTGACCCTCCGTCTCTGCATCTGAAAAGTGGGACCCTCCTCATGAAGGGAGTTCCCGACTCCTGGGTGCCAGACAGATGGTGTCTATGGCTATTGTTATTCCCCGAAGGCCCCTGCCTGTGACTCAAGGCTCTGAAGAGACACCCCCGCCCTCTCCTCCGCTGACCAAGCCTCCCAGTTTAACTTAGTTGGTCCCCCAGCCTGCCAGGCTTTGGGACTCGGCCCACCTGCACCAGGACCCAAGAAGGGCCCCTGACCTACCTCTGTCTTCTTTACAGGTCGGGATCTGGGCTCGGCCTAATGCAATTGCAGAGAACCATGGCAATTATGCCCTGAACGTGACAGGTCCCATCCTAAACTTCTTTGCCAAACATTTTGATACACCCTACCCACTCCCAAAATCTGGTGAGTGAGGTACCTCGCATTGGGGGGAAGTGGATGGGTCTCCCCCCATAGCCCGAGGCCATCCCACCAACAGCCTGGACTCCCCAGACCAGGTTGCCTTGCCCGACTTCAACGCCGGTGCCATGGAGAACTGGGGGCTGGTGACCTACCGGGAGAACTCGCTGCTGTTTGACCCACAGGCCTCCTCCAGCAGCAATAAAGAGCGGGTTGTCACTGTGATTGCTCACGAGCTGGCCCACCAGGTAGCCCCCCCATCATGGGGAGTGCAGACAAAGAACGAGGGGGGCTCTGGGAGGAGACGGCACAAGTTGTGGCTCCGTCCTTGGCAGCTGAGAAGGGAAGAGTTCCACCTGGCAGGGTGTCAGGGAGGAGAGTCATGATGATGTCGGGGAAGCCGAGCTCAAGACTGGCACGCTGGGAACACTCGGTGAAGGGTAGCTCTGGGTACCGTTAGTGACCGCAAGGCGCGAGCGGCTTGCCGGGCTGACCTCCCCTCCCCCACAGTGGTTTGGGAACTTGGTGACCCTGGCCTGGTGGAATGATCTTTGGCTGAACGAGGGCTTTGCCTCCTACGTGGAGTACCTGGGTGCTGACTATGCAGAGCCCACCTGGAACCTGGTGAGCCCGCTGCCCAGGGACCTCTGGGGTCTGGGATGGGGGAAGACCTGGGTCACCCCCTCCCAGGCCAGTCTCCTGATGGCTGCTGGGGATTTGCAGAAAGACCTCATGGTGCCGAACGAGTTGTACCATGTGATGGCTGTGGACGCGCTGGCCTCCTCCCACCCCCTGACCACCCCTGCCGAGGAGGTCAACACACCTGCCCAGATCAGCGAGATGTTTGACTCCATCTCCTACAGCAAGGTGCTGCCCAGCCCCCGTGCTGGTCCTGAGATAGTAGGGGTCATGGGAAGGGAGGTGGGATCTCGGCCCACAGGGGCCCACCGAAGCTGGGGGCTCCGGGAGCACCTGTCCCAGCCCAATGGGGACACAGGGTCTCCTGCTGGCTCGGCGCAGCCTTCTGAGCCCCCTGTCCTCCACCAGGGAGCCTCGGTCATCAGGATGCTTTCTGAGTTCCTGACTGAGGACCTGTTCAGGAAGGGCCTGGCGGTGAGTACCCTTGGCCAGCCATAGGGTGGGAGGTGTTTCCTCCAAGCCCCGGCCTACCACAGAGGCTGAGTGGTAGAGCCTGGGGCAGCAGCTTTACCCTCACCGTGCCCTGTCTTTCCACAGTCCTACTTGCATGCCTTTGCCTATCAGAACACCACCTACCTGGACCTGTGGGAACACCTGCAGATGGTCAGTAACAACCAGCCCCCCTGAAGCCATTCTGTGGGGGTCCTGAGATGCTGAAAGTCCTTGGGGGCAGCACACGTGTAAGAGAATGTGCCCAGCTCCACTGCTTACCCTCCCAGGCAGGCCATCTGGAGGCTTGGTTGCTCATCTGTAAAATGGGCACAATATTGTCTCCTTGAAGGAGGTGTTACGAGAGCCTGGGTCATGAGCCCTGGCAGGCAGCCCCCTTCACGCTACAGTGAGCTCTGTGAGGGCAGCTGAGGAGTGCCGTCATCTGAGTAGCGAGGAAACGGGCTCTTGTGGTTCCCAAGCCCAAGCCTTCCTCTCCCTGGAACTTTGGAGCCAGTCATTCACCTACTCAGCATTCCTGGCCGCCCTGCGCCCTGGCTGGCCCCTCCCAGACATGACTTTGCACACACCAGAACCCTCAGCGCGCTCTCTGACCCTCCTATCCAGCCTCACCTTGCATTCCTGTCCATTCAGACCCTGAGTGGCCCCTGTCTTTGGGCAAACCCTCTGACCACTCCCACCCTCCCGCCTGCCCCTCCTCCCCACCTCTCTTGAGACTCTCCCCATCATCCCCCATCATGTCTTCTCCTTCACGGCGGCCCCCACCCCTTCTCTGTGGCCCTGGTCAGCCCTACCGATCCCCCCATATGCCTGTGCTCCATGACCAGCCTGACCAGGGAGGGGAGGCCCAGGGCCTTGTCACAGAGTCACAGCTGGGCTCCAGGGCCCTCCTGGCCAGTCTCCAGCCCGACATCCGTCTGCCACGAGGCCGGTCCACCTCCCACACCTCCCACAGCGTCAGTCCCTCCCCTCCGCTTCCACTGTCTTCCTTGCCCAGCCTCAGTTTCCAGCGCCTTCCTTTCTTCCGAAGCCAAGCCCTCCTCCACACCAGCACCCCTCCAGCTCCATCTGCCCCTCCCTCTTTCCCTGAGCTCCTTCTCTCTGCAGCCCCCCTAGAGATGCCCTCTCCCTCAGCTTGCACCTTCCGACAGGGTCTTCTGCCCTCTATTTACGCTGTTCTTAGTTTTTTATTTTCTCAGTTATTAACAGGTGTGGTTGGTTTTTTGTTATTATTATGAAAGCAATGCACACACATGGAAAAAGATGAAAAAAGATTTAAGACAATAACAACCACCCTAAGCCCATCCCCAGACCCTCATCCAGGTGCGTTTCCTTCACATCGCCACGAGCCTCTCCTTCACGCTGCCTGTGACATGCGGACACTGGTTTTCCTTCCTCTCTGTCTCCTCTCCCTGCCTGTCCTCCCGGGTTTGTTCAGGCTGAGCCATGGGCATCCTGGGTGCCCCTCCCTGACACACACCCACCTGAGGGTGGATCACAGAATGGGAGGCCACATAGATTTGCTTAATCAAAGTGGAATGAACCAGAGGCTGGGAAGCTCTTGGCTCGTCCAGCACTGGGCAGCCGAGGAGACAGAGAGCCGGGCTGGGACCCCAGCTCCTGCCTCCCAGCAAAGTGGTACCACTAAGGGGAGGCCAAGGGTGCAAGGGGAGAGTGGGTGGGTGGGAGAATGGCAGTTGCTGATGGCTGCACCATATCCCTCTGCCCAAGGCTGTAAACAATCAGTCGGCCATCAAGCTGCCAGACACCGTGCGTGCCATCATGGACCGCTGGACCCAGCAGATGGGCTTCCCTGTCATCACTGTGGACACCAAGACAGGGAGCATCTCCCAGAAGCACTTCCTCCTTGACCCCGAGTCCAGCGTCACCCGCCCCTCAGTGTTCAAGTAAGCAGATGAGGTCACTGAGACAGGCGTCCTAGTGAAGGTTCTGAGGGGCAGTTGCTCTGGGACCCTCTGACCATAGCAGGGCCTGGCCCGCTGTGGCCCTGCCACAGTGGCTGTAGACAGTCTCCTTCCTGGGCCAGGAGGATGGGGGCGTTTTAGTGCCAGAGTTGGGCAGAAACTGGAAGTCCGGGCAAGGCTGTTCTTTGCTGGCAGTGCCCAAGAGCTGCCGTTTCTCACACCTGGCCTCTGGATCTCTTGTTCCAGATACCTGTGGATTGTTCCCATCTCATCTATCAAAAATGGCAACCAGCAGGGCCACTACTGGCTGCAGGGCAATGCAGCAGGTAATCCAGCCCTGCCCTAGTGGACAGCAGCCCCATCCCATACTCCCAGCTCCTGGCCCATGTTCTGGGGTTATGGCAGGCCTCAGCCAGGGCTTCCTTCATCGTTTCATTCAACAAATGGAGCCAGCTTCTTTGGTTCTAATTTCTACGCTGTGTGACCCTGGCCAAGTTACCATCTCTCTCTGGTCTCCATTTCCCCATCTATACAATGGGGCTAGGAACAGTATCTACCCCATTGAGTTGTGTGAAGGTTAAAGAAGAGGATTCCCATGAAATGTTTAAAACAGTGCCTGGCACATAGTATGAGCAGTCCTACTCTGCCAGGCACTGAGGAAACCAAGGTCAAGGCAAGTCATCCTCTGCCTAAGCCAAGGCTGCAGGTGAAGGGAAGGAAGACAAGCAGTTCAAACGTTCCAGAGCTGTGCTGAGTGCTTTAACGGAGGCACATGTGGCCTCTGGGGTACTGGGGCAGGTGGGTAGGGAGCGGGGAATAGGGAGCTTCAACTTCATGGAGAGGTCAGGAAACACTGGAGGAGGTGAGCTGAGTCAGAGTAAGAGCAGGAGTTCGCCAGGCTAATGGCAGCAGAGAGAAGCAGTCCAGGCAGAGTCAAGAGCAAGCGCAAGGCTTGAGGTAGGACAGAGCTCGGGGACTGAGTGTGGCTGGGGCAGAGGTGCGCCCTCGGTGAAGCTGAAGCGGGTCCCTGCAGGCTGCAGGAGACAATGGCTATGTCCTCGGGCCAGGAGGAGCTGGGACAGGTGGGAAGTGGGAAAGCCATTGGGTCTGACCTGCAGTTATGGAAGGATCCCCTCTGGCTGCCAGGAGAAAGGGTGGAGGGAGAGCCGTGAGGAGGGGGCACAGAGCCCCCAGGAAGAGATGAGCGGTGCTGGGGGCTAACTGGATGGGAGGCGCTGCCTGGGTGTGATGGCACTGTTACAAGTGGAGAGGTGGGAGGAGGAGGGGGTGGAGGGGGAGAGGCCACCTGGGGAGTTGAGTCTGAGTGGCCAGGGGTGTGCTGATGGAGTTGTCCCGGTGGATGCCACTGACGCGGCCACACAGAGCCTGTGGGAGGCAGGGCGGCCACTGAGGTTCAGAGATGGCAACTGGTCTGTCCAAGGTCCACGGCCAGAGTCGGGCCCCGGCAGCCAGTCCTACCCCTCTTCTCCGCCCCTCTCCTTGGCGTTGGCCCAGCGGCGTGAGGGCCGGCTGCTGCCAGGCTGCAGCGGAGGCTGCTCTGCCGAGGCCTGGGTCAGGTCAGCCTGTGGCCTTCTGAGCAGCCCTGCCCAGCTCTGGTCTCTCCCCACAGCCCAGAACGATCTGTTCAAAACCGGAGCAGAAGAGTGGGTCCTGCTTAACGTCAACGTGACGGGCTATTACCAGGTGAACTACGATGAGAACAACTGGAGGAAGATTCAGAATCAGCTGCAGATAAGACCAGCGGTGGGTACCTGCCGCCCCACCCATCCCCTGCCCGAGGCCCAGCCCCACGACGGGGCCCCAGACTGCAGGGCCTGCCCGCACCGCCAGCCCGAGGTCACACGCTCTGTTGCTCCTTCTAGATCATCCCTGTCATCAATCGGGCACAGGTCATCTACGACAGCTTCAACCTGGCCAGGTGAGTGCTCAGCCACAGAAGCCTGGAGACTTGGTGAGTGCGGTTCCATAGTGAGAGCCAGTGCTGCCTGCCGCCGTCCTCACCGTGTGCCAGGCTCAGCACCGTGGGCTCCCTGTGCTTGTGCACACCCCTCCCTTGGCCCCATGTCCCCGGAGATTGTCGGCGTCACAGCCCGTACTTCCCAGAGAAGGACTCTGAGATTCAGAGCTTGAGTACCCTGCCTGAGGTCACACATTAGCCCATGACAGCCAGACGCAGTCCTGTCCAACTCCAAAACCCCAGTGCACTCCACGGCACCAAGGTTTTCCGGAGGGCTACCTATGGCCCAGGCCACCATGCTCAGTGCTGAGAAAGATACGGGAAGGACAGGATAGAAGAGATGCAGCATGGATAAACAGATATTTATTGAGCAGCTGCTGTGTTCATGAGCACCAGCAGGTGCCAAGTTCTTAGACATAAGTGATATCACCCATAGACATGGACACTTATGAACCAAATATGCACAGATGGCCTGAGGAGGTGGAGGGAGGAAAGACCAGAGAGCCAAGCAATCAGAGAAGAGGTGGGCAGAGTAAATAGCACAGGTTTCTTGTCTTTTTGAATTTCTGATCTGTCTCCTGTGGGCTGTGTGGCCTTAGGCAAGGCACTTTACCTCTCTGAGCCTCAGTTTCCTCACCTGTAAAATGGGGATAATGAGCAAGGAAATGTGACTGGCAGTGGGTGAGGGCCAGGCCTGGGCTGGCCTCGTCTGTGGCACCACCCAGCATCCACATCCCTCGCCCCTACCCCCAGCCCCACCCCTGGTGAATGCTGGAGTTGGCTCAGTTGGGCCTCTGGGACCTCAGGCTCTAGGAGGAGGTTGGGGTTCCCACAGTGAGGCTGGACTGGGTGGGGGTGCTTACTTGAGCCCCTCTGTCTGTTCCCAGTGCCCGTATAGTCCCTGTCACCCTGGCGCTGAACAACACCCTCTTCCTGAAAAACGAGATAGAGTACATGCCCTGGCAGGCCGCCCTGAGCAGCCTGAGGTACTTCAAGCTCATGTTCGACCGATCCGAGGTCTACGGCCCCATGAAGGTACAGAGGGTCATGGCAGGGTTCAAGGACCAATTCCCCAGTGCCTGAAATTACACCATAAGGAAGTGAATAGAAATATTGCCTGGAATGGTGAAACACGCCAAGTCCTTGGCAGTGGTGAGAGAGTAGGAGGGATGTAGGGTGAAGGGACCAGGGATTGAAAAGGTGAGCAGGTTGGGCACGGCAAAGAAAGGACACAGACTTCTAGCAAGGTTTGCTAGATTTGGAAATTAGCAAATCCTTCTTTCAGAAGGCAACAGAAAAAGCCACAGAACAGGAAGGGGGTGGGAGTGAGGGAGGAGGCCTTTTATCAGCTGTGTGGACTCAGGCAATCCTCCTCAGCCCCAGAGAACCCCTCTGTGAAAGAAGCGGGCCTGTGCCTGCCTAGCCTGCCCTAAGGGCCTGGAGGGGGATGCCGATGTTAACAGTTTTGAAGCTTGGGGGCACGGGCAGGGAGGATCAGAGGGAAGCTGCTTGCTCTGGATCCATAGCTGAACCCATAAGGATGTTCACTGAAGTGTGGTTTATAAAAGACAAGAAAACCAAAAATACTCAAATGTCCAACAGTTGGAGTTGGTTACGTAAACTAGAATATCCATTTGATGGGATATTATGTAGTCATTAAAAATGTTTTTCACATGATTAACTAACTGTTATGGTAAATGAGGTTTTAACTCACTTTAAACTCATTAACCTACCTACACCTTGGATTCACCCCATCCTCCTAATGTAGTAAAATCACAGTATTTGGTCAACTCAGCATTCAGCACTTACTGTATGTGATTATTTAAATATCATTCTCCGCCGAGCCACATAAAGTACCATGTGTGTGTCTCCTTTTTTATACATATTATATAAATGCATCAGATAGTACATTAGTTTTGCTTTTTCCTGGAGGCATCCCTCCTGGTACCCTCTGTCGGCCTGCTCCCTTCTAGAACTGCTACTCAGCTCCCATGCTGGGAGGCTCTCCATTGTTGCATCTCTTGTTTCCTGAACCCATGGATTCTTCCTTGAGTTTTCTCTCTATTAGGGGAGCACATCTTCCAGTTTTGGAGAAAGGGTTCATAAGAGGTGGATTTTTTCAGGTAGATTGTCTGAAATGTCTTTATTCCACCTTCACACTGCATTGAGAGTTTTCTTGGGTTTAGAAGTTTCTAGGTTGAGGGACTTCCCTGGCGGTCCAGTGGTTAGGACTCTGCGCTTCCACTGTAGGGGGAATGGGTTCAATCCCTGATCAGGGAACTAAGATCCCACATGCCTCGCAGCATGGCCAAAAAAATTTTTAAAAAGTAGTTTCTATTTTGGAAATTATTCCTCAGGAAATTTCAGGTCTTGCTCCATTGACATCAAACCTCTCATGTTTCTGTTGAGAAGCCCAGGGCCTTTCTTATTTCCAGTTCTTTGAATGTGGCCAGTTTCCCCTTCTGGAAGCTGTGGGCTCTTCTCTCCATGCTGGTGGTCCTTCATGCAGGCCTTTCTTATCCTTCTACATTTTCAACCTGGACAACTTTGCATTGCTCCTTTAAACTTTCTTCCTCTCCTTTTTTCCCCCGGTTCTCTCTTTCTGGGATACTTGTTAATCCAATTCACTGCCCTTACATTCGTCCTCTAGTTTTCTTCTCTCCTATTTTCCGGCTTGTTGACTTCTTGTTCTGACCTCCGGGATATGCCCTCAGTTTAGCACACCGCCTCTCCTCATTTTTTCTATCATATATTTAAGTTTCCAAGTGCTATTCCTGGCTCCAGCGTCCTATGCAATATCTTCCCTGAACTCTTGGAGGATATTTATCATAGGCTTTTATGAAGTTTTCTTTTTCTTTCACTGACTTGTTTCCTCCAAGTCTTCTGTCTGTTTTGATCTCCTCTTTCAAGTTGGAAGCTGAGCTGCCCCTTTGAATTTGAGAGTGAGGCAGTGGTTGAAAGCTCCACGAGGAGGTGGAGTTTGTCACCTGCAGTCTTGTTATGGGGTGACTAAGTAACTCCTCGTGGGGACCCTCAAAAATTAATATCTGTGACTGTGTTCCCTTGAGACCATTCAGTCTCCAGAGTGATCCTCTGTCTTGTGCAGTTGAGGCTCACTTTCTGGGATCAGGGTGGGGAAGGAAACTGGGGGGTACCTCCATTTAGGCTGTAAACTTTCACCTCTGGCCCTCTCTGCAATTCAGCAACCCTCCCACTGTGTCTGGGGACCCTAGTGCTGAGCCCCTCTGATTCAGCCTTTCTCATGGTGGGGGGAGGGGTGTTGCTTGAGGCAGGGAGGGAAGTGGGCGCTTGAGGGTTTAATTAGTCCCTCTACAGACTTGGACTCCATTACCCTGTTCACAGCCCGGCCTCACTCCTGTCCCCTGCACACACATCCCTCTAATTCTGAGCCTCGCCACAGCAAGTCTCCTTGCTTCTGTCTCCATCTCCCCCATGGCAGGTGCTCTGCTGCAGACCCCCGCCTTGGCCAAGCCTGTTCCACCTCCCTCTCTCCACCTCCCAGCTCCTACACTGTGTGGCCGTCTCATCCACTGTTGTTTCCTTTCCAATTCTCTTTGCTCTTGGGGGTTTATTCCTTTAACGTTTGGATGCGGATTCTGGTTGACACACATGATAATCTACTCTACTGAACCAGCGTCTGCAAAGGAGTTTAATAACATGGGTTGGGCCTTACACGACAATGCCAGCTAAAAGAACAGCATGCAGAATTGTAGATATGCTGGGTAGAAAAGAGAAAGGAAGGGGCAAACTCACCAATTTGAGAGTCATGAATTTGGTAAGTTCTGGGGTGGTTAGTATTTTCTGCCTATGCTTTACAGTGTTTTCTAAATTCCCCACAATAGAGGCAGAATACTTATGATCAGGTGGGGGGGGGGGATGGTAGGCCCTAAAACTATATTAGGAAATGGTGATACTTAGACATCAGTGTCAGAACTGGTTGAGGAGAAAGAATCTCAGATCAGTCATCTGAGACCTGAACTAGCGCCGGCTCCTTTGACCACTATCTGGCCTTGGGCGAGGCCCTTAGCCTCTGGCCTCTCGCTTCTGTAGCGATTAGCCCTTGCTACACTTGCCCACCCACATCAGAGGCTCCGTGGGGCTCCAGGTGGGTCAGGCATGAGTCTCTTCTTTGAGGCTGTTCATGTTTTCTTTTTCCCAGAATTACCTCAGGAATCAGGTTGAACCTCTCTTCCTATATTTTGAAAATCTCACCCAAAACTGGACTAAGCGCCCAGAAAGCCTGATGGACCAGTGAGTATGACCTCTCTTGGGTCTGGAGATCACAGGTGGCCCAGGCACCCTGACCTGGGAAGTCCAGAACAAGTCCCAGCAGCATCCTCCTCTGAAGTTCCCAACTCCTGGCTGGACCAGGGCCACCAGTCAGGGAGAGACCCCACCCACCCACTAAGAATAGGGAGCCCTGCCCTGAGGCTCTATGTGGCCTCTTTGTACAAAGGACCAAACTGAAATTTCAAGGTCCCCTCACCGGCATTGTTATTCAGATTCTAGGTGTTGAAGGTGGGGCTGGAGTCTGTGCCCACCCTCCCTGGGCTGCCCAAGGCAAGAAGCAAAGAGGGGGACCCAAAGGGCGGGAGGGCTGCAACCTTAGAGCCCCAGCCCTGCTGCCCTTCCTGGAGTTGTGTGTCAGCAGGGGAGTCTTTGCCAGAGTCAGAGCCAGGCATGCTGACAGAGTGTCACCCCTGGGGCAGGTACAATGAGATTAATGCCATCAGCACTGCCTGCTCCAATGGGCTGCCTAAGTGTGAGGAGCTGGCCAAGAACCTTTACAACCGGTGGATGGAGGACCCCCAAAATAACCCGTGAGTGTGTCCCCTGCTTGTCTCCTGATCTTTATCTGTCCCTCAAGCTCACAGCCCTGCCCTCATCAGACCCTCGTCCTGCCCTCCCTGCTGCTACTCTACCCCTGACACCCTGACCCCACACCAGGATCCACCCCAACCTGCGGTCCACCATCTACTGCAACGCCATCGCCCAGGGCGACGAGAAAGAGTGGGACTTCGCCTGGAGGCAGTTACGACAAGCCCGACTGGTTAATGAAGCTGACAAGCTCCGCTCAGCGCTGGCCTGCACCAACCAGGTCTGGCTCCTGAACAGGTGAGGACCAGAGCTGGGTGGGGCTGGGTGAGTCCCCTCCCCGCCGGGGACCAGGCTCCCAATGTGGGGGAGAAAGAACCAGCCAGGCGTCCACACTCTCCTCCGTGGGATCCTCGCAAACCTGTGCAGTGGAGCAGTGTGTTTCCCAGTTTTACAGATGAGGACACTGAGGCTCAAAGAAGCAAAACAACTTGCCCAAAGTCTAGAAGCTTTACTAAGTGAGAAAAACAAGATTTGAATCTGGATCTGGGTGTACGTCCTGTGCTTTTAACTGCTGCAGTCTCCTAGCCTTTACCTCTCTGTCAAGGGCTGTGGTGCACCTGGACTTGAGGCCTTCTGGACATCCAGCTGGGCACCCCCCAAACCCTTGGATGAGGGCTCCTGGCTCCCACTGTGTGCCTCATATGCCATCTTCTGTACTTCAGTAAAGAAGAGCTACCCTCAATTTCAAAGACAGGAGTGGCCATCCTACCTGGTGCAGCGCTTACCCCTTCCTTCGTTCATTCATTGTCAGATATTTATCAATCACCTGGTCTATGTCAGTATGATACCTAGCATAGCCAGTGACCCTGCTTAGGGGACTCAGTGTCCCATCTACAGGAGGGCGGTAGGACCGAGGAGTCTTTAACCCGCAGCATGCTGAAGGCATGTTGAGAGGTTGCAGGAGAGGTGTGTGTGGTGGAGGGCAGGGTCCTTTTACTTATTACGCAGCATGTTGTCCTCACAGGTACCTGAGTTACACCCTGAACCCAGACCTCATCCGGAAGCAGGATGCCACCTCCACCATTAACAGCATTGCCAGCAACGTCCTCGGGCAATCTCTGGCCTGGGACTTTGTCCAGAGCAACTGGAAGAAAATCTTTCAGGAGTGAGTCTGCTGAGAGCATGTTAGGGGAAGCGCACACCAAGGCTGCGTCCCCTGGGGGTGGCCTGTGTGCACCAGACCCTGTAGGGTTGGGAGTGGATGGTAGACACTGCATCGGAGTGGTCCAAAAAGAACCCAGCCTGAGGTCGGGAAGGGACAGGAATTGAAAGATGTGGCAGCGGGGCACAGCCGTCCCTTTTCCCACTTGGGGGAAAGAAAGTCTGGCTGGTGGGAGTGTTCTCTGAAGAGATGGGAGCAAGGACACTGCAATCAAACCTGTGTTCAAGTCCCTAGTGGTGTCTCCTTGGACATGTCATTTCATCACATCTACGAGATAGGGACAGTCACAGGGTCCTGTGTCGCCTGCCAGTCACTGAACGTTGGTTCCTGGCCCCCCTCACGGTTCCTCTCTCTCCCTACCCTGCAGTTACGGCGGTGGTTCCTTCTCCTTCTCCAACCTCATCCAGGCTGTGACCCGAAGATTCTCCACTGAGTTCGAGCTGCAGGAGGTAAGAAGCCCCGGACCTTGGGGAAGCACCCAGAGGCCCATCCCCAGTCTCAACGGACAGCCGCCACTCAGCTCCCACCGCATGTGTTCACAAGGCAGCGGGGCTCCATGTGGTCAGGCCTTCCTCATGTACAGGGGAAACTGGGTATCCAGACTTTCTAAATGTCACAGTTCAATCACAGATATTCATCTTGGAATTTTTGTATAGGCAAAAGGTAAAGAGAATAATATAATGAACCTCCACGTACCCGTTACTCAGATTGAACAATTGTTAACATTTGCTGACATTTTTTGGGAGTGGACAGTTTTCAAGCTAATCACTGATATTATATAATTTCACCTATAAACACTTTAGTCAGATCTAAAATAAAGGAATTTAAAAACATAATCTATCATTAGCAAATACAAGAAAATTAACAATGCCTTACTATCATCTTATACCCAGGCCATTTTCAAATTCTGTCTTTTTTTTTTTTTTTTTTGGCCGTGCCACAGCCGCTTGTGGGATCTTAGTTCCCTGACCAGCAATTGAACCTGTGCCCCCTGCGTTGGGAGCACAGAGTCTTAACCACTGGATCACCAGGGAAGTCCCCTATGTTCATGTTTTGAGTTCTCATGGGTGTACACCTAGGAGTAGAATTGCTGGGTCATTTGGTAACTGTGTTTAACTTTTTGAGAAACTGCCAAAATGTTTTCCAAAGCAACTGCACCAACTTCCATTCCCACCAGCAATGTATGAAGGTTCCAATTTCTTTATGTTTGGGGGAGAATTGTTATTTTCCTTTTTTAAAAAATTATAGCCATCCTACTGGGTGCAAAGTGGTATCTCACTGTGGTTATGAGTGGCGTTTCTCGGATGACTAATGATGTTGAGCATCATTTCATGTGCTTCTTGGCCGTTTGTATATCTTCTTTGGAGAAATGTCTATTCAAATCCTTCACTCATTTTTTTTTAAAAAAATACATTTATTTATTTATTTTTGGCTGCATTGGGTCTTCATTGCTGTGCACGGGCTTTCTCTAGTTGCGGCGAGTGGGGGCTGCTCTTTGTTGCGGTGCACCGGCTTCTCATTGCGGTGGCTTCTCTTGTTGTGGAGCATGGGCTCTAGGCACGTGGGCTCAGTAGTTGTGGCTCGTGGGCTTAGTTGCTCTGCGGCATGTGGGATCTTCGCGGACCAGGGCTCGAACCCGTGTCCCCTGCATTGGCAGACGGATTCTTAACCACTGTGCCACCAGGGAAGCCCCCTTCACTCAGTTTTTAATTGGTGTATTTGTCTTTTTATTGTTGAGTTACAAGAGTTCTTTATATATTCTGGATACTAGGCCCTTATTAGACAAATGATTTGCAAATATTTTCTCCCATTTTGTGGATTGTCTTTTCAGTTTCTTGATAGTGTCTTTGATACACAAAGTTTTCAATTTTTAAAAAAATATTTATTTATTTATTTATTTATGGCTGCATTGGGTCTTCATTGCTGCACGTGGGCTTTCTTTAGTTGCGGCGAGCTGGGGCTACTCTTCGTTGTGGTGCGCGGGCTTCTCGCTGCGGTGGCTTCTCTTGTTGTGGAGCATGGGCTCTAGGCACGAGGGCTTCAGTGGTTGTGGCACGTGGGCTCAGTAGTTGTGGCTCGCAGGCTCTAGAACACAAGCTCAGTAGTTGTGGTGCAGGGGCTTAGTTGCTCCGGGGCATGTGGTATCTTCCCGACCCAGGGATCGAACACATTTCCCCTGCATTGGCAGGCGGATTCTTTACCACTGAGCCACCAGGGAAGTCCAAAAGTTTTTTATTTTGATGAAGTCTAACTTTCTATTTTTCTTTTGTTGCTTGTGCTTTATGTGTCATATATAAGAAACAATTACCTAATCCTAGGTCACAAAGATTTACACCTATGCTTTTTACTAAGATTCTTATCATTTTAGCTCTTACATTTAGGAGTGATCAATTTTGACTTAATTTTTGTACATGGTGTAAGGCAGAGGTCCAATTTCATCCCTTTGCATGTGGCTATCCAGTTGTCCCAGTACCATTTATTAAAAGGACTATTCCTTTTTTTTGTAATATCATTAATTTATTAAAAAATTTTATTGGAGTATAGTTGATTTACAATGTTGTGTCAGTTTCAGGTGTACAGCAAAGTGATTCAGTTATACATATACATATATTCATTCTTTTTCAGATTCTTTTCTCATATTCTTTTCTCATATATTCTTTTCTTATACAGATTTCTTTTCTTATCACAGAATATTGAGTAATGCTGTCTGTGCTATACAATAGGTTCTTGCTGGTTATCTATCTTATATATAGTGGTGTGTGTATATTAATCCCAAAGTCCTGATTTATCTCTCCTGGCCCCCATGTTTCCCCTTTGGTAAGCATAAGTTTGTTTTTGATATCTGTAAGTCTGTTTCTGTTTTGTAAATAAGTTCATTTGTATCATTTAAAAAAATAGATTCTACATATAAATGATATCTATGATATTTTTCTTTCTCTGTTTGACTTACTTCATTTAGTATGATAATCTCTAGGTCCATCCACGTTGCTGCAAATGGCATTATTTCATTCTTTTTTATGGCTGAGTAATATTCTATTGTAGTTATGTACCACATCTTCTTTATCCATTCCTCTGTTGATAAAAGAACTATTCTTTCACCCATTGAATGATCTTGGCACCTTTGTTGAAAATCATTTGACTGTAAATTTTAGGGTCTATTTCTGGACTCTCAATTCTATTTCATTGATCTGTTTGTCTTTATGCTAGTACACATTGTCTTAGTTATCATAGATTTGTAGTGAGTTTTGAAATTGGGATTGTGGGCCCTCCAACTTTGTTCTTTTTCAAGATCATTTGGCTATTCTGAATCTTTGCATTTCTTTATGAATTTTAGGATCAGCTTGCCAATTTATGCAAAAAAATACAGTTGGAATTTTGATAGGGATTATATTGAATCTGTAGATCAATTTGGGAAGTATTTCCATGTTAGTAATATTAAATCTACCAATCCATTAACACAGATTTATTTGTCATTATTTTTCCTTTTATTTAGGTCTTCTTAATTTTTCTCAACAATATTTTATAGTTTTCAGCATACTGGTCTTGCACTTCTTTTGTCAAATTTATTCCTAAGTATTTTATTCTTTTTGATGCTATTGTAAATGGAACTGTTTTCTTAATTTCATTTTCAGATTTTTCACAACTAGTGTATAGAAATACAATTGATCTTTGTATATTGCTCTTATATCCTGCAACCTTGTTGAACTCATAAGTTTTAATAGTTGTGCTTTTTTATTTTTCGATTCCTTGGGATTTTCTGTATACAAAATCGTGTCATCTGCAAATAGAGATAGTTTACTTCTTCCTTTCTGGATGCTTTTAATTTCATTTTCTTGCCTAATTGCCCTCGCTACAACCTCCAGTACTAATACATCTTTTAATCTGTAGCATCTCTTTAAAAAAAAAACCAACCAAAAAAACATTTATTTGCTCAAGCAACTGGGCCATTCGTACTATAGAAATGGCCACATTTTGAATTTGGCTGGTTGCTTCCTTGTGGTGTCAGTTTAATTTGTTCCTCTCTCCTCCCTTGATTGGATTGAGATTGTAATTCATTTAAAAACTGAGGATCAACTCAATAAGAACCTCACAATGAAGATTAAATACATGTAGGAGCCAGGCTGAACCTTGGGGCAGTCTTTTTTTTTTTTTTTAATAAATTTATTTATTTATTTATTTTTGGCTGTGTTGGGTCTTTGTTGCTGCATGCAACTTTCTCTAGTTGCAGCAAGCAGGGGCTACTCTTAGTTGTGGTGCGCGGGCTTCTCACTGCAGTGGCTTCTCTTGTTGCAGAGCGCGGGCTCTCGGTGTGCGGGCCTGCTTCAGTAGTTGTGGCTCGCGGGCTCTAGAGTGGAGGCTCAGTAGTTGTGGTGCATGGGCTTAGTTACTCCGAGGCATGTGGGATCTTCCTGGACAAGGGCTTGAACCCGCATCCCTTGCATTGGGAGGCGGATTCTTAACCACTGCACCATTAGGGAAGCCCAGGGCTGTCATTTTTGACCCCTGCCAGGGAGAGGGAAGGACTGGCCCTCCCTGTCCTGGAGAACAGGCTGTGGTCCCCATTCCCATGTTAGGGGCCCTAACATGGAGGGGGAGGACAGAGGATCTGGCAGCCCTCTCCTCAGGGCTGTGTTAGAGACCTAACCAGGGGCTCAGAATTATCCTTTTCCTCACAGCTGGAGCAGTTCAAGAAGAACAACATGGATGTAGGCTTCGGCTCAGGCACCCGGGCTCTGGAGCAAGCCCTGGAGAAGACCAAAGCCAACATCAAGTGGGTGAAGGAGAACAAGGAGGTGGTGTTAAAGTGGTTCACAGAACACAGCCAAATAGTCCCTGGTGCTTACAGTCACCTGGCCCCCATGTGAGATGCCCACGTGTGTCTATCCAAGTGGCTCACGGTAGGGCCCCCATTCCTGAAGCCTGAGGCACCTGTGTCCTCCCCTTAGGAACAGAGTCTCTGGCCCATGTTCTCTCCACTCTGCCCAGGGGGCCAATCCAGTTTCTGATGGCCAGACTGTCCAAGTGCCTCCCAGCCCCTGCCCCTCATGCCAACCCCACCCCAGGCCTGGCATGGCTCCTGTCACCCAGGGCCCTGGGGCTGATCTCAGGGAAGTCCAGCTCAAGGGCCAGAAGAGCAGAGGCCCTTGATGGATGATGGACTGCCTTGGAGGGCTGCCCTGTGCCCTCTCTCACCCTCCCATAAAGACCCTGAACCGGAGGAGTCAACAGAGCACCAGATCTGTATATTTTTTTCTAAGATAAAATGTAAATAAAGGATTTCTAGATGAGCTTCCAGACTCATTACTAAACTAGAGCAGGAGTGGATCTGCACAACAGCTAGAGAACCTGGGGTGCGTGGGGGCCTTGGACCCCCAGGAAACATAGGAGGGAAGAAGTACCCAGGCTGCCGGTCCTTCCTAGAACAACTGTATGGCAGTGTCTGCCTGCAGTGTTCATTTCATTGGCAGGATCGAGACTCTGGGTGCTGGGCAACCACTGGAGGTGGAAGGAATGGGGACACAGCAGTCCCCAAGGTGGAGTGGGACTTGGTGCCAGACACAGAGCAGGTCCTGACAGTGGAGGGAGTGCTTTTCCAGAAAGCAGGAGTTTCCATGGTTTCAGAAGCTAGGATTTGCACCTGAACTAGCGTAAGGCAAGTTCAGGGAGCAGGGTGCTGGCTGGGCCCCTCTTCCTGCACTGCAGCCAGCACACCTGGGAGAGTGAGAGAACAGGGCTCACGGTAAGGGCAGCAAGCCCTGGATCCAGGCCTGGTGTGACCACTCACTGGCCAAGGGCATGTCCTGCCACCTCTCCAGGATCCCTGGGTGGCATATCAGTTTGTAAAGTGGTTGTTTTCAAGAGTAGCATACAGAAAAAGGCAGGTGCTCTCCAGATCACCTGGGGCAGCCAGTGATCAGGGCCAACTCTGAGGAGAAGGTCTGGGACCCGCAGGGCTCCACGGCCCACATCAGCCTTGGTGGAAATTTCTTGGCAAAGGAGGTCCAGCTGAGCACCCAAGGCTGGTGGGAGGGAAAGAGGGAGGTAACAGATAGCCCAGGCTCCTCAGGGGTCACCTCCAGTTGACCCCGCCTGTGAGCTGCTCCAGCTGAAGTCTTGAAGTCCAGCCTGTTTCTTGACCCCTGGGCTTTGGTTTCCTCATCTGCACGATAAAGACGATCTATCGTAGGGTTGGTGTGTGGATCTAAGGAGATTCACGTACTTAGCACACAGTCTGACACTTAAGGAGAGCAGGGTGTTACTATCATCCTTAGCCCTGTCTCCTGCTCAAGGCCCCATTCATCCTTTTTCCTCCCAGCCTCTTCCTCCTTGTGAGAAGCGCGCCAGCGGGCCTGGGGCCAGGAAGGCTCCTCCACGCTCCACTGCCTTCCGCATATCAAAGGGTGGGGCGGGCCAAGGGGTGGGACCAGCCTTGGATATGGGTCCCTCCACCAACCAGGAGGCTCCCCCCAGCCCAGCATCTCCGGACCAGCCCTTCCTGTCGCCAGGGCCCAGCTGCCGGCGGCTGGCACTTGACCTTAGGGGGACCAGAGGGCAGGCGGCCCCCTCAGGTGGTCCCCACTGGAGGAAGGACCAGCACCGCCATCTAGGGTCCCTGGGGGAGCCAGGTAGGAGAGTCAGCAGGGACCCTAGTCTCGGTGCCTGGCACTGGGCTGTGTTTATGCGCATTATCTCATTTGGTTTTCAACAGCCCCAGGAGATAAGGACTGTCTTTATCTCAGTTTTGCAGATAAGGAAACCGAGGCACGGGGAGGTTAAGACCCCACCTCTAATGCCCGTGCATGAGTGGAAGCTGGCCCTGCATTTGGGGCTACGGTAGTTAGGCACTCGTCACCTGACAGCTCACAGTGCAGGCATTCATGACTGCCTGTGGGGCTGGAGGAAATCGGTACCGAGGATGCAGCGAGGACATGCACAGCCAGAGACCTGCTTGCAGAACCTAGCTCAAGGTCGGATGCAGAACAGGAGCTGCCTAGAACTCTGACTGCTCATTCCCTATCCAGCGCTCCGTCTACAGGTAGGTTGACTTCTCACGGCCAGTGGGGGGCCCTGAGGATCAGCCAGAAGCAGCAGGGGCGGGGGGAGGGGCTCTCCCACCTCCCCACCCTCCAGGAGACTCCTCAGGAGGCACGTCCTCTGCACTGCAGGGTCATTGAGAAGCCCCGGGTGAGGTACTCGGTGAATGTCCAGTCTCTTATGGATGGTGACTGGGTCCCCAGGAAGGTGTAGGTGGACCAGTCATCCCAGGCAGGGCACCAGCATCAGCCCCTCTCCCTCCCCTGCCAGGCACTTAGCACAGAGGTGCAGCCAAGAGCAGCCTGTCTGGGATGGAGCCACACAAGAGAGTGAGGGGCTGCTGCTCCTGAGAGGCAGGGCTGAGCCTGCCCTCCCAGAGGGTGAGGACAGGGGTGGGGGATTAGCCCAAGCCCCCGGCAACTCCAGCTGGGGTGATAGCAGCCTTTTGCCTCTGCCTTTGCATCTCCCAGAGGAGCTGGGAGAAGAAGGCTGCCAAATTCCAGAAGATGCTCAGCTCTGGCTGGCCCTTGCCGTGGCCATCAGTGACTGGACCAAGGACTGAGCCCAGATAGGCGGGAGTCAAAGGAAGGAGATGGGCAGCTGTTCAGTTCCGCCTTAGGTGCAGGTGCCATGAGACTGTGGAGCCAAGTCCTTGCATCTTCTTGAGAAGGAGAGAGCACTGGACAGGGAGCCAGGGGCTTAATGTTCCAACCTAGCTGGAGGGCTAGAGAAAGTTGCTCCCCTCCCTGGGCCAGTTTCCTCAGCTGTAAAACGAAGGAGCAAAAAATAGCCATTGCTCCCAAACCTGGTTGGACCTCGGCTCCAGGTTCCCAGGTCCCGGCCCGATGCACTGAATCGCACTCTCAGGGTGGGACCCTGGAACCAGAGGGCTCAACATGCAGTCAGGTGAGGGAACCACCAGACTGGATCATCTCTAAGGTCGTGTGATTCTATTCAGCTATTATGTATTGAGCAATTACTACGTGCCAAGCCTAAGAACCCTGAGAGGTAGGGTCTATTATTGTTGCCACTTCACAGCTGAGGAGACTGAGAGTCAGGGAGGTTTTGTTCGTTTTTTGTCTTTTCAATTTTTTGGCCGTGCTGTGCGGTATATGGGATCTTAGTTCCCCAACCAGTGATTGAACCTGCGCTCCCTGCATTGGAAGCTTGGAGTCTTAACCACTAGAACGCCAGGGAAGTCCCCAGGGAGGTTTTGAAGCTTGCCCACAGTTACACAGAGAGTAAGAGCTGAATGAATGTGCAACCAGGGCAGCTGTGCCCGTTATCTGTCTCCCTGCTGCATGTAACCTTGTGTGAGCGTTTCCCATCCTCCGCTGTGGCAGGCAGCCCCTACAGAGGGTCCTGGGGTAGGAACCAGAACCCACTTCTAAAAGGTTGGGGGAAGAAGGCACTGCAGTGGTCGCCTAATCCAGCTCCTCTTTAAGAGATGGGGAAACTGAGGCACAGAGATGGAGTGACTTGCCTGGCGTCAAAGGGCATGTCAGCAGGCAGTGGGTCAGATGGGAGGCCCTGCATGTGGCAGCTCACTCTCTGGTCTTCCTCCTGCCTCTGCTCTCGCCCTGCACCGTTAACAGTGGCCTCCTGCCAGGCTCCATTTCTATAAGGCAGTCCAAAAGACCAAGAGTGGCTCTGACCAGCCCACCCCCTACCCTCCACCTTCACTGCCCCCTCCACCCAGGACACAGAGGCCAGATGCCTCCCCCTGCCGCCATGTGGGGCTCCCCACAACCCTACCTCCCAGCTCCTTTTCCAACTCAATTTGTCACTTTTCCCCTTCAGTCCTGGACTTCAACCACCTCTTTCAACTTGGCTCACGCTGTTTCTTCTGCCTACTCCTCTTGGCGAACTCCACACATCCTTCAATACTCAGTTCCAACATCCTGCAACTCTCCCCTCTCCGAGTCAGAAACAGAATGAGGTCACCACCACTGCTGGCTCCCAAGCCTATGGCAGCCTTTGCTAATGGATCATGGCGCCCTTTCCCCAAGATCCTGGAGGTGCCTCTTAGTCTTGCTCAAAGCCACATAAATCAATGCGGCAGGACTAATGGATCAGGTAACTCAAGAACGCAATAGCACTGTCAACCCCATCTCCCACCAGGCTGGCATATCCTCTTTGGTCCCAAAGTACCTTGTATAAACCCCCATCTTGACCTGGGCTCTGATCATTTCCTTCCCTGTAATTTACCCCATTAATCAGGGCACGTTTTCTCCAGCACCTAGTACTGGGTGTTGTGAGCTGAACTGTGTTCCCGCACAACTCTTGGTGAAGTTCTAACCCCCAGTATCTCAGAACGTGAATGTATTTGGAGATAGAGCCTTTAAAGAGGAACTTAAGGTAAAATGACTTCACGTGGGTGGGCCCAAATCCAATATACTGGTGTCCTTGTAAGAAGAGATTAAGACACAGACGCAGAGACTGGTCCATGGGATAACCATGCGAGGACACAGCAAGAAGGCGGGCATCTGCAAGCCAAGGAGAGAGGCCTCAGAAGAAACCAAACCTGCTGACCCCTTGGTCTTGGACTTCCAGTCTCCAGAACTGTGAGAAAATCAATTTCCGTTGTTTAAGCCACCCAATTTGTGGTATTGTCTTATGGCAGCCCTAGTAAACTAATACACTGGGCCTAGCACATGGGAGCCACTCACAAGCACCCTTTGGAAACAACTTCAGATAACTGTGAAAGAGCCCTATGGGTCAGCAGGAATGCACACAGGAGAATGCAAAAGGGCAATGGTGACGGGCTTCAGGCAAGTGAACAGGCCCGAACGTTAACTCACCTGTGTCGCCTGCACAGCAGGCCAGGTGGAGCCCCTGCGCAATAATTACTGTCGAACTGGCAAGTGAGGGCCTGAATTCCAGGAGGGGAAAGCAGCATGATTTGTTCCCTGCAGGATGGGAACGTTTTTCCTTTTCCAGAAGCAATAAAACCCCAAGTGGATAGAAGAAAAACAGACCAAACCAAATTTGGGTGTTTCTTTTGGTTTTTTTTTTTAAGAAGTACAAAATCTAAGCATATACTTTTCTTCCCACTCCCATCCCCACCCACCCCCAAGCCCACTCCCCCACCAGTCCCAGCCTGTCCAACCACTGTGGTCAAACAACCCATGTTACTGCAGCTCAGGTTGTGCTCTACAGAACACTGGTCGTTCTGGGGGGCATCTAGGAGTGGAGGGACTGCCCCAGCCCCGACTTCAGCCAGGGAGGCCACCCTTAGCTGTTTCAAACACTG